AATAATTTGGTTCCACAACTTTCCAATTTTTTACATGACAAAACTAAGTTCAATTCAATTCATGATGAATTGATTTGTATGCATAAATGCACAAGGAAATTTTGCCATGATAATCCAGATATTCTTTTTACAATGGCCGATAAGGGTAACGTAACAGTCGCGATGACAAAAAAATATTACACGGATAAGATGGAGGGTTTACTTGATGACAACAGCACCTATTCTATTATAAAAAAGAATCTATCCTCTAAAATAGAAAAGGAACTAAACGATACTCTTAAAAAATGGCAAAAAAAGGGTACATTTCTAATAAAGAATACTATTCACTACGTTCCAGCGACTCCTTTCTTCCAAAATGTTATGGTCTCCCAAAAATACACAAGGAGAATACTCCATTTAGAATTATTGTGTCATCAATTAATACCACACTATACTCGATTGCCACATTTTTACATAAAATTATATCAAATAGTATTCCTACGATTAAAAGTAATGTAAATAACAGTTTTGAATTGTATAGCAAGCTAGCGGGTAAGAAAATTAGTACGGAAGATATAATATCGTTAGACGTGGTTTCACTCTTTACTAACATTCCGATAGATCTTGCAATTGAAAGTGTGAGCAATAGATGGAATGATATCAATACACATACATTAATTCCAAAAAATGAATTCATTTCTATGGTTAAATTTATATTGTCGTCAACATATTTCACATTTAATGACATTGTTTACAAGCAAGTTTATGGCACGCCTATGGGTTCTCCGTTATCGCCAATAATTGCTAACATTGTTATGCAAGATCTTGAAGAATCGATAATTAACGCATTGGATTTTGATATCAAAATGTATTATAGATATGTAGATGACATTATTATGGTGGCATCAAAGAATAAAATAGATAGTATATTGAATAAGTTTAATAGTTATCATCAACGACTACAATTTACGATTGAATACGAAATTAATAGAAGCATAAATTTTCTAGATTTAAACATTAAGATAATTGATAACGTCATACATTTGAACTGGTTCCAAAAAAAGACTTGTTCAGGTAGAGTACTATCTTTTTTATCGAATCACCTCATGTGCCACAAAATAGGAGTAATTTATAATCTCATTGATAGAGCATTGTTATTATTTCATCCCATATATCACAAGAAAAATGTAAAACTTTGTATCGAAATATTATTGGAGAACGGTTACCCTATTCATTTAATTTTTAAAGAACTTAATAGGAGAATAAAAGTATTAAACAATTGTCAGTTTAATAACAATAGAACAAAAGAAATTGCAGAGGGAAAAAATAAGAAATTTTTTGTCATCCCCTATATTAATAACATCTCTGAGACAGTGGCATCGACAATTAAAAACTCAGATTTCAGAGTAGGGTATCGTTGTCTAAATAATCTCAACAAATTTATTAGAGTTCACAAGGACAAAAACGTGCATAATAATAATAATAATGTTGTCTACAAAATTAATTGTAAGGACTGTGAAGCTTCGTATGTTGGGCAAACCAAAAGAAAATTACGTACTAGACTAAAGGAGCATATAAATAACATTAAATTTGATTCTTCCAAGCATTCGGTGGTCTTTGAACATATTGTAGATAAAAAACATGCTTTTGATTGGGATAACGTTAAAATATTTGATATTGAATCTAATTATTATAAAAGACTTATCTCGGAGATGATACACATCAAGAAACAAAAGCATGGTATAAATAATAATACAGACACCGAATTGCTCAACAACGCTTATTTTGACATTCTAGAAGAAATAGCGAATTTTTAGAATTATTAAAATGTTTATGTGTTTTGCGACTTGACACCTATTTATTCAACTTTTTAAATGTCTAGACATCAGTCAAGTACTAAGTTTAACAACAATTAGAGGCATTGTCATCTCAATTTATTCGGAACAATTGTAAGCAACAAGTAACTAATTTTTAATTTTTAATTTTTACATATACATAAGTGGATTTCTATTTTATAATATAAAAATTTTTTAAATTCAGTTTATAATAACAAATATTAAATAACTTGGAGAGGATGGACACGAATCATTGCCGGACTGATAGCCTTTCGTCGACTAACGATTGAGTGATTGGTTTGGAGTAATGTTTAAGTGCCACTCCGAGGTTTTAATAATAATTTTAAAATATTTATTGACTAGCCGGATGAATTATTTTAATTTGATTTCTGCTTCTAATTGGGACTTATCGTGTTAAACTATTTTTAATAATTTCAATTTATTGTAAATGTATTTTGCCTTTTAATTTTGACTTAATTATCTAATTTATTTTGACTGTGTATTGCGACTTTTTATTAGAATTTTTATGTATTTATTTATTTTTTTTATTTATTATTATTGTTTTAATGCGCACTGAAGGAGACTAAGTAAAGTTCGAAACGTTTGTAATTGGTTTTTTAAATTAAAATTTTTTCCAAGTTTTACAATAATTTTTTATTGCTCGTTTCACATGGCCTCGTAATATTTAATAAGTTATCATTGTGTTTGTTTACATACGAGCTTGAGCATTGTTACAGATTAGTTGATTTTGTATTATTTTTTCATTGTTAATAATTTATTATTTTGTAATTTTATATTCATATCAAAAGTGTGTAAATTACTGTGTGTAGAAACTTTTCTCTAAAAATAACAAGCTACTATATCTTTACTGAATACTAAAAAAAATTCAAATACTTACAGGACCATCTATTTATAAAGTTTTCATTTTCTATATACTTTTGAATCCACGTGCACACACGGTAACGGATTCCGCGGATTCCGCTCAAATGTGCGGGAAAAAACGACTCAATTCGCGGAAACACGGAATAGTTACTTTTCTAGTTAAACTCTCTGCCGCGTTTCTGCGTTTCCGCGCTTCATGTAATGGCACCCTTAAAGGACACTTTCAATTCTAACTTTGTAGGTTAGCTAGAATAACGCAACGCATACACGCAAACGCATACGGAAAAAGTAAAGAAAAATGCGGAAGAGCGCTGATTAGCTGTTCAATTCACGCATTCTCTGTTCCACACGTCGATTTTCGTATCATAGGACCGCACCCTGAGGGTGCCGTCACATGAGGCGTAACGGTGCCGTTAGTCACTAGATTACAAAGTACCGCAATTAGGGGGAAAAAATGCTGCCATTTTGACTCCACGCAACGCGGCCGTTTCAATTGTATATAATTGTATGTATAATCCAATTTTTTGTACAAAAGAAAATAAAATTGTAAATTATATAAAAATAATTTTTATTTATGTTTTTTTCCATTTGCTATGGCCATTTTCATCGCAACACTTCTACTGCTATGACTAGCTGCTTTTTTTACATCACTGCTTACATTTTTTAATGAAAAATGAATTCTTGTGATTACAAATTTTTAGAAATTTATAACCAATATTATGACACAAAGGAATAAAGTTTATCGAATATTCTTGTAAAAACATTGTTATAAAATCATTGACTTTTAATACATTAAAAAGTAAGTTAATCTCATTTTTCCGAAATAATAGTTCGCACTTATATATTAAATTATATATCTCCACGCTTGGAAATATTAAAATATTTTCTTTATATTCTCTTAATTTTGTATAAAAACTTAGCTTATTGTAGCTAGAATTGTTGTTAGAATCATTCGTAGTCATAAGAACATTAAAACAATTATTGCAATGTGTAAAATTTTTTTGTATTTTAAATAATAATGCACCTATTAAATAATATAATGCAACTTGAACTTTTTTTTTTGTCGCTGGGGAAACTATCATGGTACCGTACACCCCCGGGTAGGGGTGAGAGTTATGTGGGACTCCTTGTTCTCCTTAATCGAGCCACGAATGGTTCGACCAGGGGGCCCAAGACCTACCGCACTAAAACCCCAGCGGGTGTCCACCTCGGGCGTTGGATAGGGGACGGCGAGGATGCTGGAATCCCATGCCGTCTCGCCGCCCCCCCGCCAAGCCATCTCCGGGGAGCTGCCTCAGCCTTGCGGCCAAGACCTCTCCCCGACCGCGCAGTCAATGACTGCGCGGTTTCGTCCCGGTTGCGGCGCAGGGCGACACCGACCCTACGCCGCGCCCTCCCAAAGAGTTTGGGGGGCGGGGCCATGGCTCGAGAGCACCCGCTTGAGCCATCGCCCCCCGCCCCCACGGTGGTCGCGACCCCTAGATCCCCTAGAGGGTGATCCGGTTTGGCGTTCCACCGGGGGAGCCTTCACCAGAGGGCTCCTCTCTGAAGGAGAGGAACCCTCTTCCGTGGACGGCGTTGCCCTTCCCCCGGGTGCCCCCTGGCTCCCGGTGAGAGAGCCCCACGCGTCACGTTCTCACAGAGGGGGACCCAGGCGCCCCGGCCGGACCGCGTGGCCCCCCCCCTCGGCCCCCCCGGCTGCGGCTCCCTCCGCTCCCTTAGGAGTTAGGATTTGGCCGCAGCCGAGAGGGTTTTCCCTGACCGGGCCACTAGGGGGGGGGGCCCTAGTGGGGTGACGCGCCCACGCGCCCGGCCCGCGTGAGGCTCCCGGAGGGGAGGGCCCTTGGGACTTAGTTGTCCCCCCCCCCCGGAACCCTCATCCCGCGTCAATTGTTGACGCGAGTATATTTGGGACGGACCCCCCCTGATCCACGCCGCCACAAACGGGCAAGCCTGCCGACGGCGCGGAAAGAGAGGGCCCGGCCCCTCCTCCCATGGGTGCATGCCTCCTTCGGAGATCGTACCCCCCCCCGGCCCCCACCACCCCCGGCGGGCAGACCCGCCGACGGTGGGGGAGAGGGCACACCCCCCCGTCTGTTTGGTTTCTCCTTCCTCTCCTTCCCCCTCTTCCGCGCCTACCAGGGGCGCCCCCTTCCGGTCCCCGGCGCCACAAACGGGCGGACCCGCCGACGCCGGGGAAAGAGGGGGGACGTCCCCGTCCTCCTCCTCCCCCATTCTCTCTCTCTCCCTCTCCGCCTCCTCCTTCTGCAGCATGACTTCGCCGCAGAAAGAGGAGAACGCCTTCTATGCTTCCTCATTGTCTGTCATTGCCCTCACTACCGAGGGCAATGACAGATCCCTCCCCACCGCGGCCACGAGCCTCTCTCTCTCTCCCGCCCAGGCAACACACTCAGCGAGTGTGTGTTGGGCGGTGTCACGCTCGTGGCCGCAGTGATGACACCGCGTCGTGCGCTCTTTACCTATCCTGTGCAGGTACTCACCGAAACACCCATGTCCGGTGAGCACCTGCGTCATACGGAAGGACACCCCTCCTTTGGCCCTGTCTAGCCAGTTTTCTAGACAGGGCCGTATGGCCCCGACGGTGCGCTGTCCTGGCAATGTTAGATTTGCCAGGCTATCCTTCCAACTCTGGATCAGCGCCCGCCGGGAGTGGACCCTCACGGTACGCCGGAGACTTTCCGTCATAATGATGCCCGCCCGCTGGTACGCACGTGTGCGTGTGTATATTTCCGCATACATGCGGGCGAGCATCTCCACAGGGGGTACTCCGGAGAGTACCCCCGCTGCCGTCCAGCTCACTGTACGGTAGCCCCTGCATATCCTGTTGACTACCCGCTTCTGCACTTGCCTCAGTGCGTTCTTTGGGCCGCGGGCAGCCTCCAGGCGTTTTGACCATACAGGGGCCTCGTACAGGAGCATGGCGTGTATCATCCCGGCGTACAATTTCCTCACACCCCCGCCAGGTCCCCCGAGATTGGGCAGCAGGCGTTGCAGCGCCATTGCTGCCCTCTCTACTTTGGGGGATATGCGGCGGAAGTGCTCTTAGAAGGTCCACTTATTGTCGAGGTGGAGGCCCAGGTATTTCAAACAGGCCCCCACCTCTATCGGGGTGTCCTCCACTCTAATGTGGACTCTCGGTGGCGCCCCATGGGAGCCATTATGCAAGAAGATGGCTTCTGTTTTTGGGGCGCCACTTTGAGTCCTATACTCCTCACATGGCGCACGACGCGGTTCACCGCTAGGTTTGCTCGAGCGGCCGCTTGTTTCCACGATTTCCCCCCGGCCATCACCAGTGTGTCGTCAGCATAACACACCGTGTGACAGCCAGGGAGGAGGGCCTGCCGAAGAACGGCGTCATATGCAAGGTTCCATAGCAGGGGCCCAAGTACCGACCCCTGTGGAACCCCGCATGTCATATGGCACCTTTGTTCCTCGGCATTTCTATCTGTATAGGCCAATTGCCTGCCCCGGAAGTAATCCGCCAGGATCGACACCAGATATTGGGGGACCCCGTGATGTTCTAGGGCCGCCCCTATCCGGTGCCATGGCAGGGTGTTGAAGGCGTTGGATATGTCCAACGATACCGCCATCAACACCCCGCCCTCCTCCGTTACGGCATCCGAGATCGAACGAACCCGCAAGATCGCGTCGATCGTGAATCGTCCGACCCGGAAGCCGTACTGATCCTGGCTCAGATCCGGTCCTTCCCGGGACAAATGGTAGACGAGGCGGTCCACTATTATTCTCTCCAATATTTTACCCGCCTCGTCTATCAAGCAAATTGGCCTATACGCCGAGGGATTATCCCTCGGCTTGCCCTCTTTGGGAAGGAGGACTACCCTTGCCTCCTTCCACTTTCGTGGGAAACAACCCATGCGGAGGCACTCGTTATACATCCTCCGCATGGGTCCAGCTAGACCCCTGTAGGCGAGAGCCCATATCCTTCCGTGTATGCTATCAGGACCCGGGGCTTTCCCGGGTTTTATTTTCCTGATGGCATTGCGGAGCTCTTCCACCGTGACCCCCATGGCCTCCTCGTGCCACTCCCATTCCCGCTCAGGAATCGGGTTTGCTGGGCCCTCTTCCCGCGGGAACAGAGTTTCGACGATTTGGCCGACAAACTGGGGGTCTAAGGACTCTGTTGTAGGGGCGCCCCCCCCTTTTAGTTTCTTCAACACTATTCGATATGGGCGCCCCCACGGGTTCTCGTCCAGGTGGGAGAGTAGCTCCTCCTAGGCTCTCGCCTTTGCCTTCCTTATCAGGACGCGTAAGTCATCTCTTCTTGCTTTGTAGATGTCCCACGCGTCCTGATACCTTTCGGGGTCTGACCGCTCGAGTCTTTTCCTCCTCTTTACCAGCCTTCTTGCTTGGTCGGAGGAGCGTCTTGCTTCGGCAATCTCCTCCGACCACCAGTAAGTTTTTCAGGGGGTTTTCTTTTTGTTCTGGGCATGGCTGCGTCACATGCGTCATTGACAGTCCGCAGCAGCCATGCCCTTTCCTCCTCTAGTTGAACCCCCCCATCTTTCTCTCCTCGAACCATCAGGGCCGCCTCGACCGCGGCCAGGAACGCGTCCTGATCCAACTTTTTCAGGGTCCACTTTCGAGAGGCAGACTCCCTCTCGCGGCGGCGCTCTATTACTTCGCGGGGAAAGGCACCGACGGAGAATTCGATATACTTGTGATTCGATATCGTTTCTGTCTCCGTCAGCACCCTCCACCCGCTTACCAGCCCGGAGGCAGAGGGGGTGACCTATGTTAGGTCTATGATTGACTCCCCCCGCCTCCTGACACATGTGGGCCTCCTCCCCCTATTGCAGGGGAGGAGCCCAAATCGCGCCGCCCAATCCAAAACCTGATCACCCCGCTAGTTGCCGCGCGGGGAACCCCAGACGCCCGATTTGGCGTTGAAGTCCCCGGCGACGACTATCGGGGCAGGGTGATATTCCAGGATCTGCCTCTCCATGGCGTGCAGTCTCCCGCAGAAGTCTTCTTTGTTGAGACTCGGCGGAAGATACACGCCAATCACGATGGTGGACCCCCATCTTACCGTTATCACACCCTCCCCCGACTTTAGAAGTTCTGTCGGGGGAGAGTTGGTCGCGTTCCTCTGGACGATCGCGACGGATCCGTCCGCACTGCCCATCCAGTTATCGGGCACACGGTACGGCTCCGCCACAATCCCCAGGCCGCAGTCTCTCTCCGCCATCGTGTTTGCGAAGAGATCCTGAGCCGGCCCCGAATGGTTAGTATTGGCCTGTAGAACTTTACAGGCCATCTCTCTTCTCTGTTTCCTCCGCAGGTCCCGTTGTGTCCATGGTAGTAGGATCTTTCTCTGCTAGGTCTTCCTGCAGTCTCTTCTTCTTTCTCCCTCCTTCTGTTGGGAGCTTTTCCTCCTCTCCTCTCTTCTCCCCCCTCAGTCTGGGGTGAGGGGCCCTTTGCTGTTTGGGCCCCTCATTAAAGCTTATGAGGGTGGCGGTGGGGACGGTCCTTTGGGCCGTTTCTCTAGGGGGTCCCGTCGTCCTGTTGAGCGGGATGCTCCTTTTCCCTTTATGCACCGGTGTGCACGCCTTGCCACCCGCTCTGTGGTTTGCGAGCAGCCCTTTATCCGCACACACCGGGCATCTCACGACGGCTGCGCAATTTTTTGCCGTGTGGCCCTCCTCGCCGCAGCGGTAGCATCTACCGCTGCGGTCGGTGTTGTTGGGGCATCGCGCGCTCACGTGGCCCCCCTCTAAACATTTGTAGCACTAGAGGGGTCTGGCCTCCAGCATCTCTGCGCGCGCGATCGCTCATCCTATTTTTACCGATCCTGTTTTCATGATAAGGTTCGCTACCTTCAATGGGCAACACGATCCCCATTCCTCCGGGGGTTTTCTTAATTTCCCCGGTTTGTATGTCACCTTCTTCGCAATTGCCACTTCTGGCAATTGCCTCTCGGATTTCGGGGATCTGAATGGATTCGTCCAACCCCCGGAGTCTGAGTTCTGCCGTTTTAGTAGGGCGATGTATTCTCACGCCCTCCTTATTTGCCAGTACCCTCTTCAGTTCAAGGGCAAATCTGTCCGCCTTTTCGTTTCCGTCTGGCTCGGGAATCTCAAAGATGTAGGATCCGGATATAAGACGAGTAAGACTCGAATACCCCCCTTTAGTTCTCCCTCTGCTAGGGTTCCCTTCCTATCAGAGGGATATCTGAGTATCTTTTCCAGATTTCCCTTTTTCCCTCGCGTGTCGTTTACCGGTTATTTATAGTAGAGTAAACGATCTTCCACTAGGCAGACGTCTGTGTTAAGTCAAAGCCGCCACTCCCGCAGATCCCCCAAAAAAATATGGAGCCCCTCCTGCGGGGCTCCTCCTCCTTGTGAGCATAGCCCTTTGTTTTTCCTCTAAGGGTGCAACCCCCCAGCAGAATAGAGGGCCCAGACCCCGCGCATGCCTTATGGGTTGATGTGTGCCAAGCATCACCCAGCGTACGCAGGCTCGAATCCGCAAGAGTACGTGCCTTTTCCCGTTCAGACCATGCCATGTCTAACCAGGATGTTTCCATGCTGAATACATCCCGGCACCGGCCGCCTTACGCGTTTTTATACGAGGGGGAAGGCAGACCCCTGTTTGTATGATGTCTGATCACTCGAGGTAAGCTCGAGCAACCATCATCATCCCTACCCGTGTCCCCGCCTCCGAATTTTTATACGAGGGGGAAGGCGGACCCCTGTTGCTGGCGATGTCAGCCTCTGGGAGCATGTCCCGTCACTTGATATCACCGCGCCCCGACGGGCATCCGTGACTCGAATTAATGTGCTTCCGTATTTCCGAAGGGTGAAGCACAACCCTCTTCTTCCCTGTTGCCAAAGCACCAAGGGATTCTACCCGAGCCTCCCGGTAGAGGCACGCGATCTAAGTCCCTAGCCGCTCTCCGATTTTTCAGGGGGAGGCGGACCCCCGTGCTGTCGGCTAAACGTAGCCCCGGGAATGTTTACAGTACTGAAACATTCCCGGCCCGGCTGCTTCCGCGTTTTTATACGAGGGGGAAGGCAGACCCCTGTTCGTATGATGTTTGATCACTCGAGGTAAGCTCGAGCAACCATCATCATCCCTACCCGTGTCCCCGCCTCCGCGTTTTTATACGAGGGGGAAGGCGGACCCTGTTGCTGGCGATGTCAGCCTCTGGGAGCATGTCCCGTCACTTGACATCACCGCGCCCCGGTGGGCATCCGTGTCTCGAAGTAAGTGACTCGAAGTAAGTGTGCTTACGAATTTCCGGAGGATTAAGCACAATCCTCACGACCATCTCCTTCCACACCCTTTCAGGTGAGTGAGAAGATGGTCACGCGAGCAAACCCCAGGCGATCCATGGGCCCCCCCGTTGATCGCCATCTTGTCGTGGTGGGGGGGCTCACCCCTCGCAAGGGAATAGCCTTGCGAGGGGTGCTAAGAGCGATCGGTACCTCTTGTAGAGGTACAAGAGGCCTGGTGGGGCCTTAGGGTTTCGGCCCACCACCCTTGGAAGGCCACCAAGTAAAAAAACCAAATAAACAACATGGACGGACGAAACAACAGGAGAAAACTTACCGGCCCAGGGGTTTCGGATGCCCCAGGGCCCGGCGGAGAGGGGGGTATCATCCCGGCCTCCACTCCGTCGTTAACGAGCGACGGGTGCGAGAGTGGGGATGGGTGGTCGACGGATTCGTCGATCGCGTCGGCGGGGGGGTTTACAGACCCCAGGGCGGTGAGGCCGAAGTACTTGCTTCCGGGCCTCACATGGGAGAGAGACTTGGCCCCATGGTGGTCCAAGGAGGACATTGATGTCCCCACGACGCGCCTCTTCCGGAGGTCTTTGCGCATCTGGAAGATGGTGAAGAGGAAGGTTGATGAATTCAACAAAGCCATCATGGAGGAAGTCCGGTCGGATGGGAAGATGAGTCCCATCCTGAGAGAAGCTACGGGCTTTGCCGGACGCATGTGGCGCATGACGCGCGAACTGACGGAGGTCTCTGCAGAGC